TGGGATTCACTTCAGAGTTTCCCTTATCTAGAGTCCCTAATCTGGGACGCTAAGCCTCTTGGTTTGGAGAATTGTAGAATTATGTGTCACTTCTTTATTGTTTTCAAGGCAACTCAGTGTTAACCTGGGATAAGAAAGTTTGTTGTTTCTGATTATGACGTTATTGTAGGCTTGTTTTTCAACAAATATACCAGATCATGCACCTCCAACTGAGGGCTGCCCTCTCAAATAGTCACTTTGACATATCATAAACTTGACAATGTAAATTCTCCAAACATTACTAGGCCGGGTCCTTAGAGTCACAGTGTACCGTAGCACATGTACTGGATGCAGCTGACTTGGGCTGAAGGCCTGACTCTGGTGTTTATAGGGATAATAATGCTACCTACCTGATAAGGCTGTGACACAGATTAAGTCAGATAATGCATATAAAGCACTTAGCACAATGCCTGACCTATAACAAGCTCAGTGCATGTGTGCGTGTGTGTGTGTGTGTGTAAAATCACCCAAACATGGTCTTTATCTTCTTTATCCTCTTTAGGAGCTTGCATTTTTAGAGATATGAAGAAGACCAGTACATGAATAGCTGTGCTATCTTCTAAGTGTTGTGCGGAAGGTATTAACTAATGCAAAAGTGACATCATGTCATGTGGGAATCAGGAGACAATCTGTGGAGGAGCTAGCATTTGTGCTGATGCCCACAAGATGAGTAGATTTTTGACAATTAGACTTGGTGGGGTGGGTGATCTAGGAGGAGGGATTAGCCTTGTAAAGGCACGGTGGAAAAGTGAGGTATATGTTTGGGGAACCGAGAATATTCTGTTTTGTTTGGAGACTTCCCATAAGACAGACCATGAACTTGACAATGTAAATTCTCCAAACATTACTAGGCCAGGTCCTTAGAATCACAGCATACCGTAGCATATGTACTGGACCCAGCTGACTCTGACATTCTTTGGTTACAAATAGCAGAAAACAGACAGGAAACGTAGGCTGGATACATATTGAATATAAGATAAAAGTGCTTATGTCCGGACAAAAACGTGATGGGGAGTCATATAAAATTTTTGAGTATGAGAATGATGCAATTAAATCGAACTTTAGGAAAACTTATCTGGCAGGATTATAAAGGATAGAATTGAGAAAGAAGAAGATTGGAGGCTAGAAGATAGGCCAGGAGGCTACTGAATTTCCGGTGGACAATTTTGCAGAATGTACCAAAAGTTAAAATGTGCATACCCTGTGATCCACCAATTTCACGTCTAAGTACCTAATCTATAGAAATTAAGCACACAAATGGGCAGAGATATAGGCAAAAGGATGTTAATTTCACCATTATTTATAATAGTGAAAAACCAAAACAGACCTAGGAATTCACCAACAAGAGAATGATTAAACAAGTTGTGGTACATTCATATGGTGAGATACCATGCAGCCTTCAAACAGATAAAGTAGATCTATAGATGTAGCTGTACATGGTGACATAAAGAGATAATAAAAATGCTTTTTCAAGGGGAAAGAAAAAAATCATAGAACTATATATGTAGTATGGTTACCTTTATATTAAAAAAAAAAACCCTTGTGTGTGAATGCGTAAGTTCATAGAAGATTTGAGAAAAATGAAAAAGTCCTATTGCTTGTGAGCATGGCGTGGGATTACGCATGTGGGTGAGAGAAAGGAAACTGTCTTTTTATTTTCTGTATACTTCTTTGTTCTTTTACAATCGAAATGTATTATTTTTGTAATTTTTAGGTTAAAAAAATGAGGGACAAGTCAGATACTGCAGGTTTCTGAGAAGTTACCAAAGAAAGAATGCTGGAGACAGCACATTTGTTGCATTTCATTCACACTGTGCCCTTGTGTGGTGTGATGGGAGGGACAGCGTTTAATGCGTGCTCTGTGGCCTTGAGAAAGACACAACGTTTCTGAGCCTCTGTTTTCTCATACAGAGAATGCCCTATTTAGTTTATTGCCACCTGCAAAGATAAAATGGAAAAGTGCTTTAAAAATTATAAAGCTCTGTAAAAATGTGGATATTAAATAATATTCCTTGTGCCAGTTAATGCCCCACTTCTTTTAAGCAATAGTCAATACTGCTTAATTTAGTCAATACTGAGAATTTAGAATATCTTTTAGAGTTTGTTTTAACAGAATTCTACTAGTCCCAGTTAGGTCCTACATAGCAGCAGTGTAGGCATTTCAACTTGAAAGTACTGGAGTGTTTTGTGTTTGTATGATCCTGATGGCTTTTGGCAATAACCTTAAGTCATACTTTGCACTCTACCCATTTCAGGGCGAACCGGTGTGGACATGCTGAATTAAGTGGCCAGCTCTTATTTAGCACTTGCTTTGTACTTCACACTCCCCTATGGGCAGGTGGCCAGATATCTGGGTTTTCCTGGAACTGTGATGGTTTATACTATCTGTCCTTGGTAATTGTTAATAGCACCCCTTCCACTTTCAAAAGTGTCCTAGTTTTAATGATCAATTATAATGTCACCTGACTATGGTCACCTATGCAGCATGGAAGGAAACACAGGAAGCCTCTGGCTTACAAACACTAGACTTAGAAATTTCTTCCCCCATCCCAGCTCCCCACCACTGAAAAAGCCAGTACTGCTTCCAGAGGAGCCATTATGAAAACTGTTGGTCTTTTGGAGGTTTGGTAGACTCAGAGGTAAAAGCAGAACCAAGGCTGGGAAGAGCTGGTGTGGACCTCCAGAAGGCTGCCCTACAAGTTGTCCTCCTTTGCAAAACCTCTCCCCTCAGACTATTTGTCTTTTGCATTGCCTAATACTCCTGGTTTTGAGATTTATATGGGGAAAACAAGCATTTTATTTTCAATAGTGTAAACAGGTTGGGGAATGTCCATGACAATTTATTTGTTTCCCCTCAACATGGAGCTGATGTCTGCTTGTACAGAGAAAGGGAAGTGTCTCTGGGAGGAATAAGATTGGAAAGGGAAAAGTAATTTTGGAACATGAGATATTCTTGGGAGTAAGACCTTCCCTTAGAGCAATTTAGGAACATAAGGGGCCAGAGACCATGAGGGTTGGGGGCAGAAAAGGAGGTGGGTGTCAAACACATGCAGTAGTTATTTGGGAGGAAAATGTTGGCTCTTGCTCCCCATATGGCTTGGGAAGAAGGTAAAGGAATGTTCTTTCTCGGCCTCCTGCTGCTCCTACTCCTCTGCTGCTTTATATAGCTTAGCACTCAGAATTCGAGCCAGTGCTAGACTATGGACTGCATGGCCCTGGGAAGGAGACTTCTGTCTGTGGCATTGCTTTGGCAGGAATGCCAAAAGGGCACTCTTGGGTTCTTGGGTCCAGTCAGTGGGCTACCGGTGCATTCTGGGACTCACTCTTTCTTAAGTTGGAACTACCTGTATAAGACTTGGTCCCTGACCTGGAGGGCTCACAGCCACTAGATTTTGGGTAGACCCAGTTAATAAATAAGAAACTACAGGAAAGCAATCAAGTGCCAACTGTAGGGTATAGGCTCTAAGTACAATGTGAATTTATCCATGGGGGTGCCCAGAGGGGGGTGCTTTATGGGTTCATCAAAGTTTTTACATAGGATAGCATGACTGATCTGAGCTAAGAATATGCTTAGATAGCAAGAACAGGGAGGAGAAAATTCTAAGTAGTGATGAAATTCACTTGGACACAAGGTCTGGCATCAAACATGAGCATGGACAAGGAAGGTTGCAAGAAGGAATTAGGCCTCTTTGGAAGCAAAACATCTTTCTCAGAAGCAGTGGGAAAATCCATGAGATAGAGTCATACATTTTCTGTAAATTAAAGTTTGTAAAATGCATCACTGTAATTTCTACCTGTTCCATGTGACTGAACACTTTGAGGCAATAAATTTTGACAGCATTTTCCAGGTGGGTGACTTAACATGACTGAAGTTCAAATGAGGTGAGGACCTGATCTTGGAAGGATGGGAATCCAGATGAAGGACTTTAGACTTGATGAAAGAGTCTGTAATGGTGTTATTGAAGGTGCTGGATCAGGGTTGAACATTGGTGTGTGGCTGGTACACAGGAGGAAGCAGGAAGAAGTCAGAGAGACCATTTAAGAAGCTGTTATGGTAGACCAGGGGTGAGGAACTGAGTATCTGGTATCTGGACCAGGATGGAAGTGGCAGATTGGAAAAGGGACAAATCTGAGAACTGTTGTAGAGATGGAAACAACAGGACTTAGAGATCTCATGAGAAGAGGCAGAGGAGGCCCTTGTGTATCTCAGGGTAACTAAAGCAGGAGAGGGACTTTGTTAGAAGTTCATGTTCTTATGAAGGCTTCTCACCTCTGCAGCCTGCATCCAGTCCTAGTGAACCCCCTTTCCAAGGAAACCCTATAAGCACCTATTCAGTAACCTGATTCTGCAAAAATTCAGATTCATCCAGTGGAAGTCTTAAAGCATTTATTCATACACACGATTTTGCAAAATTAGGTGGCTGAATAGATACTACAAGGTTTTCTAACCTGGAAGACCTAAGCATGTAATTCATTCTACTGCCAGGGTTTCAAATAAGTGTGATATGTCCAGAGTTCGTTCACATAAAAATAAATGCTTTTTTGCTTCACAATCCCCATGCCCTTCCTGTGAACCCCGTCTCCTGAGAAAATCTTAGAACACCAATTTCCTAACCTGATTTGTAAAAGGAGGTTAGTAAAGCAATGCTTTAAGAGTTTTTTGGAAATAGTTGAAATTAATTAGCCTTGTCAGCTTTTATTTTCATAGGCTTTCTTCTAACTACATCTGCCCCCACCTCTGCAAGTATATATTTTTAATAAGATTGATTTTAAACAATACAATTTAGAGAATCTATGTACAAAGTGCTTAAAGAATTTAAATACATGGGTTTATTATTAACACAGTAGCAAATATATCAAGGATACACACCCCATGAAAAGTGTTTCAAAGAAACACAAATCTGCCCTGAGAAAAGTCGGTACCCAACAAGTAAGCCCAAAGAGGCTTGTTTGCTTGTTGATGCCAGCAGATAAGCCTGGCAAACCTCGGTGTGATTGAAGAAGCCAGTCTGAGACTCAGCCTAGCTCAGGCAAGCTACCGGCCCCTGGCTGTGCTCAACGAGCGTCGTCACAATGGTGTTCGCATTTTGGAAGGTTTTTCTGATCCTAAACTGCCTCGTAGGTAAGGACAAGATCTTCCAACCATTATAATAATTGTGAACGAGTTTCCTTTTAAAGTGAGATACAAAATTTTTATGTAGAATGTTCCCCTCTTGTACTTCAGAGGAACTGTGATTATTATGCTGAGTAAACTAATTTTCAGCATTCTTGTGTAGCAAATATGTGCCATACTATAAATGCAACTATTTTATGTAGCTTCTGAATTAAGATTTTCTCAGAAACATCGCAGTTTCTTTCCTTTAGTTTGCAAGGTGAACAGACGAATTCACACTGAAGCCAAAGCTTGTGCTAAGGATATATATTTTTTTCTATTTCATGTTAGTGTTTCCTTTAAGCTCACTGTGACTGACTTGCTTTGCTACAGCAGGCCGAGCCTGGCTTGGAGGGCCTACCATGCTTTAGTATCTAACATTTCTTAAGGAGTTGCAGACTTCCAAGCTTTAGATTGTATTTTGAAAAATATGTGAGTGATTTATTGTTGTGTGCAGTATGGGTGTTTTTAGGGATTTGAGCAGAATGAGATTATTTTTTAGAGTCAAAATCCTGATGTTGGTTAGACCCAAGAGATTTCACTAATGGAGAAAATCCCTTAGCTAATTTTTGCAACTAACAGATGCATTTTGAATCTGTTCTTAAGATAAGTTAGGCCCATGGTAGATACAATAATATTGTTTACAATAAGATTGATATTTTTAAGTCATTATTATTATTCGGCAGTCATTAGCATGAGGTTTACTAAGCATTTTTAATGACATAAGAAAATACTCAGAACAAAATATTCAGTGAAAAAGCAGGATACACACATTTGCCTAGGATAAATTGTTAGAAGGCTTAATACCAGAGTGGTGATTTCTTCTGGGTAATGGGATTATAGATGACTTTTATTTTATTTCCCAGCTTTTCCATATTTTCTGGGGTTTCTACAAAGAATATCATACTATTTTATTCTCATATAAAAGCATATGATATTTAGTAATAGTTCTCCAAATGTTCACTACTAAATGTTTAAACATACATGTTCTATGTTGTCACCAGAAGGCAATACTGCATTTATACAGTTAACTAACCAGGATTTAGAGCTGGAAAAAATTACTTTTCTCAGTTTCTAGCCTGCTGGGAACACATTACATTTTCTCCTTTCTTCCAGAAATATCCATTTTAAACCTTAACTTTAGACAGTGAAATTCTTTGTCCTTTCCTAAAACGCTTCTGGTCATTAGCTAATTGGGTGACCCCTAGGCCTTCTGCACTGGCCCCTAAGATCACACCTGTAGCCAATACCTACTTACCTATGTGAGGACTTACTGGGGCCTATACGCACCAGTTTTAGAACAGGTGCAATAATGTTTTTACTGTAACTAACATATATATAATTTTTATTGATTACAAATGTAGTGTTATGGCCATTGTAGAAAGGTTGAAAAATATGGAAACATACAAAAATAAAAATAAAAACCACAGGCATTCAGAGATTTGGGTGAATTTCTTATTTGTTTCCCTTTGCAAATATTTATATTACATTACATCTGATTTATACCTTGTATACAATTTCTTATTGTTTAAAAAATTACTACGATGATGTCCGGCTCTTACTTGATTGTGACTTTTAGAACAAGGCCCAATTAGAGTGACCAATAAATACTTCAGAGCCTTTGTTCTTAAATTACCATATAACTGGTTTTGTTGGCTTCTAGTGGATACTGTGTTTCTGTACATGTACTATCGAGATGGAAAACTGTGGTAGTGCTAGTCTGGCAGATGGAATGGAAATGTGGTAGAATGTATTGTTTGCTGTGCTTACATACAAATGGAAGTCAGAGAAAGGAAGATTTCAGTAATCTATACGTGGCCTTAGTATTGTCCATTATCTGATCCAAATAGGACTTGAGAAACAACTGGTAATGTTTCCATCAGTGTGCCATTTGATGTGCTACCTGGACTTGTTTCCTGGTCAGGGAGAAGATGTGATGTTTTTGGTGTCAAGCATGGTGCCTGGTGCATAGTGGGTACATAGTAAATGTTGAAAGAACAGATTACCTTCTGAAATCCTGCCATTTGGGACAATGTCAGGGACCTTGAGGGCATTATGCTAAGTGAAATGTCAGACAGAGAAAGACAAATGCTATATGATCTCACCTGTGGAATCTAAAAAAGCTGAACTCATGGAGACAGAGAGTAGAATGATGGTTACTGGGGGGTGTTGGTTAAATTAGCAGTTAGAAGATGAGTAAGTAATTGGGACCTAATGTACAGCATAGTGACTATAGTTAACTATGCTGTGTTGTATATGTGAAAGTTGCTAAGAGAGCAGATCTTAAATGTTCTCACCACAAGAAAGAAATAATAATTATATGATGTGATGGAAGTGTTAACACTATGGTGATAATCATTTTGTAATACACAAGTGTATCAAATCAGTACACCGTACACCTTAAACTTACAAAATGCTATGTGTCAATTATATCTCAATAAAGCTAGAAAAATAGAAGAAGGATTTATTTTCCAGAACCCCAGGCATCCAGAAATTATTTTCACATACATATTTAAAATCAATTTTCTGTATAACTAAGCAAGACAGATTTTTTTTTCAATAAAAACTTTTCCAATAATGTCTTACGTTAAATTCCATTCCAGGAAAATAATTTTAAGCAAAAATGTCTTCTGCAAAGAGTTCACACATATTTTAGATACTTGTAGTATATATTAGCCACCTGTTGGAAAGACGTGTTAATGTTAGTTTCATTATCTGGGGCCATATGCTATGCGTTTTAAAGAAATAATATATTTGAACTTTGGTTTTACAGTTAAATCCAAAGTGTGAGTCATCACTTGGTTATGTTATTCCCTAACTCAAAAATGAAGCATTATACATGAAGTTGTTGGAAGTTAAATTACATCAAATGCATCAGGTTAAATATGGTTATTTGTGGGTTTATGTTTGCTGTGGTATATTAGGAGAATAATAATTCCCCTTTATAAGCAAAGTGCCTGCCACACTGTAGGCATTAAATAAATGAATGAACTATCCTTACCAAAACATGAACCACTCAAAAATCTTTTTAAAATGATGAATTTAAGTGTATAGGCCTTGGATTATTTTACTGTAATAATAAGCACTGAACTTAAAAAGCAGTTACACTTATTTCAACCACACATGTGGTTTTTGTTTTGTTTTTTTTAATTCAGCCATGTCAGTGAATGAAATAGAAATCTGAGTTTTTTTCTAAATCAGGTATGAATCTTTATTTTGCTATTTATTCACAGTCTTGTTAATATAGAGATTTTTTTCTCAATTTTTAAATAATTTCTCAATTTAGAGTAAATTAATTCAAAGGAAGAGAACTTTTTTTTTTCCCTGACATGTACAAATCACCTTCAGTTTAAGGCTAATTTGGTGCTGTTCACTATCCACACATGGCGTATCTAAATTTTAATTAATTCAAATTAAATAAAACTGGAAACCCAGTTCCTTAGTCACACCGGCCACATTTCAGGTGCTCAATAACTACATGTGGGTAATGGCTACTGAACTGGACAGTGCAGAGAAAGAACATTTCCATCATTACACAAAGTTCTCATGGGCAGTGCTGGACTAGGTTGAAGTCATGTGTGTTAATTGAATCATGGTATTTTTAAAAAGTTAATCTGAAAATATATAGCTCTTGGCTCTGTGAAGTGTATTGTTGCTGTATTAGGGATGGACAATTTCTGAAAGCCATCTTTCCTTCAGAATTTAAGGATTGATTATAGTGCTGAGTATTGGGAATCTGGGCATTAAAATTGTCTGGAGATTTTGCCTTGACAGTTATTACCTATTTACAGTACAACATGTAGTATTCTTAAAAATACTTATCTCATAGTTGTCTCAGAGGTTACCATTCTTATTCCAAGGTGATATTGCTGAGCTTTCACAGATCCCTATTTATGTATTTATGTCTTCTATTTTTTAAAATGTTAAAATGTTTAATCAGATCTATAGTTCCCTAGTCTTTGATTTTTGTCTATCCTCATTCTAAGTGCACTGATAGGGCAGGCAGAGGTTGTGTCTGTCTTCCTCATGATTGTTTCCCCAGTGTTAAGCACTGTTTATGGCTCAAAATAGGCATGCGATAGATATTTGTTGATAGGCACCGTGGCCTCTTCCATGGCTTGCCTTGTGTGAGAACTGTGCTTACTCTGTCTTCAAGAACTTTTGCCAAGAGCAGCCTTTAAAGGAGTTTTGTGTGCATATGTGGTGGGCAAACCTTACCTGGTCATAAGCTCCCACCATTAGTCAATCTCATAACAGATATTGGGACCCAAACTAGAGGATAAAAATGATGACCAAATAGTGTCTTCAAAACTCTGTTTTTGGGGAAAGTTTCTAGGAACTTTAATGGCTTCTTTTATCCTTTTTATTTTGGACATTTTAAGGACATTTGGAAGTCATCATTTAGGCATAGCCAGAGATGTGGTTAAGTTCCAAGGGAAATGAGACATGCTCTTGAAGAGGAGGAGAGAGCCACTTAGACTTCCCCAGTGAAGATCCCACTGGAAAGAGTAGCTGCTTTCTGCCTGCCAGGTTCATTTTCGGGGGAGGCATACTGGGAACCAGGAAAGCATGAGGAAACCCTGGGAAGAGGGAAACTGCAGTGAGTTAGAAGGTGCTGCACTGGTGTCTACCCTAAAGCGTTTCTCTCAATTCATCAAGATATTGGTTGCTAGGCAAACAGTCAAGTTCTGGCAGAGAAGCAGCTGGGCCAGCTGGCCTGGCTGTGATGGATAACATGGCTATTAAATCTGGAACACCAGGGGTAATCAGTACAATGGTTTGATTTTTCTTGTAATTTTCAAGTTTGTTAGTTCCCTGATGTCCTTTTGGTTGATTGCTATCATTAAAAAAAATAAAATTAGAAATTCTTTGGTTATGCAAAATTGGGAAGGGTGCCAGAAATTTGTCTTTCTGTACTGTTTCCTCTGATGTTTACATGATCTCTGTACCCTCATTCCACCCCTACCGCT